AAGAGGACGAGTGGCACGCAGCTAGTCAGACAGAGGGGGGGGAGCAAAGACAAGGGAGGACGGAGGGGGCGACGGGAGAAGGGGAGGACGAGACGTGTGGGAACGAAGCAACATAGGGTGAGAGCGCGAGACAGGGGAGACAGGTCGAGCACGGGAGGGACGGCGAGACCAGGCGTGAGACGGGGGAGTCGGGTCAGGAGACAGAGGAGGGGACACAGGAGGGGAACGAGGGGGGAAACGGGCCGGAGACGCGTCCGGAGGAGGGAACACAGGGCCGAAAACAGGAGGAGGAGGAGGCACGGGCACGGGGTCAGGGGATGGAAGGCCGAGCAGGCGAAGAGCGGACACCGGCGGGGACTGCTGTGACGGCGGTGTGACGCCGACACCGGGACCGCAAGCTGCCAGGCGGCTACCTCCAGAACACACCACACCAGTACCCCCAGAAGAAACACCCCCAAAGCTCAGAACCCCTCGAGCACCGGTACCACCCCCGGCCCGCCGGGACAAGCCACGACAGGAGTCCCAGGACGAGTACCCACCCCAACTCCAGCACCCCCAGAGGCAACCAACTGCTGCGGCGACGGCTGCGGCTGCTGCGGTCGCAAGGACGGCTGCGGCGACTGCGGCGGTGGTGACGACGACTGCGACAGCGGTGGCGACTGCGGCTAAGGAGGCTTCGGCGGAGGGGACACCTTAGAAGGGGCAGGCGGCGAGGACTGCACCGCAGGACCACCAGAGTCAGCAAACTCCTCAACCGGTACAACCGACGTAAGTGGGGTGACGTGGGACACACCAGAAGGGGCAAGACGGGGAGGGGGAGGAGGAGGGGCGGCGACGACTGGGGAAGGGGTGACCAGGAACAGGGGGGGGTGACTGGGGGACCTCGGTAGGGGAAGCAGCGAAAGAAGGAGACGGACTCGTCAAATGTGACGTGACGAGTGAAAGAACCTGTGAGATGGCCGGTGGTAGAAGTGCCAGTCAGACGCGTCAAGGGGGAAGCCGAGGAAGACACAGGGAAGGGTGCGGGCAGTGAGCTTGTCCGTGCTAGAGGCACGAACGTGAGCAAAACAGCCCCAGACGTGGAACGCAGACGCGTCACCTGGTGACCCTGACCAAAGGAGGGTCGGCGAAACCGGAGGCTGCTGGGGGTGTGGCCATAGGTTAAGCTGGTGAGCGATGTAGCGAACGGCGAACAGCCACAGAAAATGGGGTGCACCGGCATGGATCATGGAGGTGCGAGCCACCTCCATGACCAAACCGATGCGTCGCTCCGCGACCCCATTCTGCTGCGGAGAGTCCGGCAAGGTAAACGTCTGGGTGATGCCCTCCGCACGACAGAAACGACCAAGGACATGAGAGGCAAACTCGCCACCACGGTCGGAGTGGAGGCGCAAGACAGGGAGACCGCGACGGACACGCGCAGCGACAAGCCACGGGATAAGAACGTCAGGCATGTCGACCTTCCGCTCCAGGGGGAACACAGTGGTGTAGCGCGTGTAGTCGTCGACAAGCACTAGGAAGTAGCGCTCTCGACGCAACCCATGGACGGGGGCGGGGCCCCAGACGTCCATGTGCAGAGTGTGTAGCGGTGCGGCGGTAGGGGGAAACGAGGAGGAGTGAGGAGCACGGCGAAGCCGGCCCTCGACACAAGGCCTGCAAGGTGGGGCAGGGGAGGAGGGAAACTCAGAGGACGACCCAGGGAGGTCTAGAACGAGACCGTGCTGTGACATGTGACGCAGACGCGGGTGCGTAAGGTGACCTAGACGGTGGTGCCACAGGAGAGTCGGGTGGGTGAGTGACCGACTGGAGCAGGCAGCACTAACCTTGGTAGACGTAGCCACCTGAGGGGGGGTCCTAGCCGGGGGGGTCACAGTGTCTAGTGTGAACAGTCCAGACACCGGGTCCCGGGGGAACGTAGTAAGGGGGGCACCAGAGGCGGCCTCGGTACAGATAGCGTACCGCTCGTGACCAGGGAACGAAGTGGTGACGCCAAGGTCTTGGAGGCAGCCGACACCAACTAGATTCCTGGAAAACGAGGGGATGTGCAGGCCTGTGAGAGAGCCCGAAGGAACTGCGGGGCAGGGGAGGGTGGTGGAACTGCGGGCGACTACAAGGCCGGAGGAGGGGTCAGCAAGAGAGACTGCGGCAGGGACAGGAAGCGGTGTCAACGTGGTGGAGTCGCGGAAGAAGCACCGGGAAGCGCCAGAGTCGAGGGTGAAGGAGAGCGCGGTAGTGGCGGCCGGAGGTGAAGTAGCGACGGAAGCACTAAGGCTAAACAAAGCAGGGGATCCTACGCCTGACGCAGCAGGGGAGTCTAAGCAAGGCACACCTACACTAGGCAACAAGGGGTAATTAGACGGAAGCACACTAGAGTCATCAGCATACATTACATGCAGAGCAGTAACAATGTCATCCATATCCAGATCAAAAATCTGAACCCTACGACGAAGCAAGCTGTGCCAGTCTGGGAGCTTGGGCGACGGGCCGAAGCGTTGACAAAACAGGTCGTTCAAGCGACGGAAACAGCGGTCGGAGGTATGACCGATCTTACCGCAAACGAAGCCACGACCGGTCTGAAGCAGGTACTGACTGTGCGCGGCATCCGAACCACCACTCGGCAGCCCACCACGCGCACCATCACCACATCCAGCGCTGCCACCAGCGCCGGGCCACCCAGGCGGAAGACGACTCGTCCGCCTCTACTGCTGCTGCGGCGACTGCTGCAGCTGCGGCGGCTGTGGATGCTGCGGCTGCTGCGGCTGGGGCGGGTCCGGCGGCAACACCGGCGACTGCTGAGACGGCTGCTCGGCTGCACCTGGTAGGGTCCCCGCGTCAGCACCACCACTAGGTGACCCAACTCCAGCACCACTTACACCCGCACCCCCACCCCCGTCGCCACGTCCAGCCTTGGGGCGGCGAGCCTTCCCAGGATGAACCTGTGCGGCAGCGGCAGTCTCATTCACAGCGACAGAACCGTCGGAGAAGGTGCACTGAGCGGGGGCACAACCCTGAAAGATAGGGACCAGCACAGTACCGCTGGTCTGAGCAATAGAGCGGTGGCGGGCCTCTATAGCGGACAGGGTGTCAACAAAGTTAGTGAGGGTAAGGTCTGCGGGGTGGATGCTAAGAAAGCGGTAACGGGCAGTGGCAAGACGGTCAGGGAGGCGGGTGGTTAGCAGGTAGAGAGTAGAGGTGAGGGGCAGCTGGTGGGCTAAAAGTTGTGTGGGGGTGCAGGCAGCACGCCAGGTCTCGGCTATGGTGCGCAGGTGAGCGGCCAGGTCGGCGACAGTGGGGAGCGACGCAAGGTCAGGAAAGAGCTTTGGGAGGATCAGACGACCGACCGAGGCAGCAGGCGGGGTGGAATAGCGCTGGACAACAGCATCTAGGAAAGCCTGGGCAGTGGTGATAGACCTGAAGCGAGGTCGCTCGGACAGGGGGAGGGCATTGCTAATAGCAAGCTGTGCAACATCGTCACGGGACTGCCAGACAGAGCGAGCAAGGGTAGCGGCTGCAGCGGACTCACGCTCAGCGGACGAGGGGTCAGGAGACAGTGCAGCGGGGGGTTCAGGGCAGGGGAGTGTACCATTAAGATGGACAGACAGCGAGTGGCCATCCTGTCGCTGACCAGTGAGATGGCGACGGAGGTCAGCAAGCCACGCATCAAACTCAATCGGCTGGCCCTCAGCATCAAAGCAGAGCACTGCCGCCATGAGTGACAATAGAGGGCAGTATAGAGTAGGACAGTGTGGTGCAGTGCTGTGCAGTGCGGTGCAATGCGGTGCAGTGTTGTGTAGTGCGGTGCAGTGCGGTACAGTGCGGTACAGTACGGTACAGTGCGGTGCAGTGCGGTACAAAACGGTGCAGTGCGGTATAGTGCGGTGCAATGCGGTGCAGTGTGGTACAAAGCGGTGCAGTGCGGTGCAAAGCGATGCAGTACGGTACCGGGGGGGGGTTCGGAGGGCGGTGCTGATCGGGAAGAGCGGGCCGAACCCGAGGCAACGGCGGGCCGGCGACGGCGCGAATGCAGGGGCCGGCCGGCGGGCGGCAATTAGACACGGCCGCAACGGCGGCCAGGGACAGCCGCAATGGCGGCCTGGGACAGCCGCGACGACAGCCAGGGGCAGCCGCGACGGCGGCCAGGGACAGCCGCGACGGCGGCCAGGGACAGCCGCGACGGCGGCGAGGGGCGGCCGCGACGGCAGGAGCGACCGTGAGGCGGCTGGAGAAGGCAGCGGCGGCGGCTAGGGGCAGCCACAGCGGCGAGGGGCGGCCGGAACGACTAAGGGCGGCCGAGGGACGGCTGGAAGCGGCCGCGACGGCGGCTAGAAGCAGCCGCGACGGTTAGGGGCGGGCTCAAACGGCCAGGGGGCCGGCTAGGGACTGGCGCGAACGGCCAGGGGGGCCGGCTAGGGGCGAGCGCGACGGTCAGGGGGCCGGCTAGGAGCGATCGCGACGGGTAGGGGGCCGGCTAGGAGCGGGCGCGACGACCAGGGGGCCAGCGAGAGACGGGCGCGACGGCTAGGGGGCCGGCTAAGGGCGAGCGCGACAGCCAGGGGGCCAGCTAGGGGCGGGCGCGAACGGTCATGGGTCGGCTAGGGAAGGGCGCGACGGTCAAAGGGCCGGCTAGGAGTGATCGCGAAGGTCAGGGGGCCGGCTAGGAGCGGGCGCGACGGCCAAGGAGCCAGCTAGAGACGGGCGCGACGGCCAGGGGGCCGGCTAGGGACGAGCGCGACGGCCAGGGGCCGGCTAGGGACGGGCGCGAACGACCAGGGGGCCGGCTAGGACGGGAACGCAGCGCTAGGGACGGGCGCGAACGGCCAGGGGGCCGGCTAGGGACAGGCGCGAACGGCCAGGGGGCCGGCTAGGAACGAGCGCGACGGCCAGGGGGGGGCCGGCTAGGAACGTAGGGGCGGAAGCGTGGGCGGGCTAGGGGGGGATCTAACCTACTATGATACTATATCAGAAAGAAAAATGATTGAACTAGAATGTGTGTGTACAAGGATATATAGACTAGGGTGTTGTACCCTCTAAGGCACAATCCTGTATAGTCTACAATAACAACCTAAATTACATTTGACACTTGAGACCCTCGCTTTAAGCTAAGCTACAAAATGGAATCTCAAAATCTTCGTCCTTCGTTTTGAGAAGAGGAAGACTTGGCTCGAGGGCATACAATACAACACTAGAGAGTTTGATTCTATGCATTTGAGGGCCGGCCAGTGGCCATAATTAACTGCAATCACTGTTTCCCTATGTCAGTGCCTCGTGGGAGCTTTCTTGGGCATTTCAAACTTCTCTCTCAACACGCGAGGAATATCTGCAGTGACATTGTTGAGAGGAATGCTGAGATCCACCCAGTATATGCGCTTCACACGCTCATACGTCTCCTGTGCGGGGTGCACAAAGGGGGATGGCAAGGATGGTGAGAATGATAATTGATAAGTCAGGGTAGAGAAGCTGAGTGGAGATGGATGCTGGGTAGACAGTATGGGAAAGGCTTGGGGCACGCCAAGCATGGAGCACAGCTGACAGCACACATCTGAAATGTAGCCATGGGACGACGTTCAGAGCAGGTGAGAGGTGGACGGAGGGTGCATGGAGGGACCGGCAAATGGGAAGGGGCGACTGAGAATGGGGTTGGAAGAGCAGGGGGGCGGAAGGTGGAGGATGGAGAGGACAGGTCCACGTGCTAAATGTGGGCTCGCTACCTTATCATACAGGTCTAGCAGCTTGCTTGCTGCGTTCGTGACGTGGAACTGCCCCACACCCAGCTGCGACGTGTTTGTACCAGCAGTAGCAGCAGCAGCACCAGCGCCACCAGCAGCACCGGCGCTGATGGCGAGAGCGACAGCGGCAGGGTCAGCATCGGCACCGGCGTCGGCGAGTGAGGCGGCAGAGGCGGGGGTGGAGAAGAGGTCGTAGGAGGGCAGCCCGCCCATGCGCTGCAGCACCATGGCGGCGTCGCGCTGCAGCGACTCCAGGCGCCCCACAAAGTCGTACTTGATGTCGTGCAGCCCGCAGAGGCGTGCCTGGGGAAGGGACAGTGGGGGTGTGGCCAGCGGGGGCGCCAATTGAGTCGACCCGAAAGTCACCAGTGGGGTGCAGTGCAGGAAGGCAAGACGGCAGGCAAGACGGCAGGCAAGATAGCTAACCAGAGCTGCCACTGCAGTCCGCAGGCTCACATGACTGATTGGCTTCCTCCTCCTCTGGCCCCCAACCCCACCCAGGCAGCACCTGCACGAGCCCCCACCTGCACCAGCCCCCCCCTGCACGTGCCCCCCCCTGCACGTGCCCCCACCTGCGGAGCGATGTGTGGCTCGAGCCAGTCCTTGGGGACGCGCTCGATGAGGAAGACAAAGTCGTGGAACGACAGCAGGTGCGACACCGGGTTTGCCAGCTGCGCCAATAGCTTGGGCACGCGCGAGAAGAAGAGCTGGGGGGGAGGGGGAGAAGGGGGAGGGGGAGGAGGGGGGAAGATGGGGAGAGAAGGGTGAGATGTGGAGATTAGGTAGAGATCGGACGATGAAAGAACCGGATGCACAACATGGGGGTGGGGGGGACCTGGGACCACATATGTAGGGACCCTGCCAACTTCAGAAGGCGACATTTGGCTGTTTGTTTCAAGAGAGTAAGCTCGACAGGTACGTCTAAAGACAGGTACGTCTAAAGACAGGTACGTCTAAAGACAGGTACGTCTAAAGACAGGTACGTCTAAAGACAGGTACATGTAAAGACAGGTACGTCTAAAGACAGGTACGTCTACAGACAGGTACGTCTAAAGACAGGTACGTCTAAAGACAGGTACGTCTAAAGACAGGTACGTCTAAAGACAGGTACGTCTAAAGACAGGTATGTTCTGTGGGACATATGCAGAGTGCACGCTTGCAGTGCCACCCTGTATAAGGCAGCCACCGGGATCAAGCGCTCAATTGGTGACATTGCCTCCTTTCGACTGAGTGCATCAACCACTCCCACCAGGTCTACTGAACGAGGATGGACAGAGGTAGGTTGATGGCAGTGGCGTCGAAATGGGCGCAGCAGAGCGGCGGGAGAAGGAACCAGAGGAGTCACGATAACCGGAGGCGGTTCACCGGTTAAAGAAGAAGACAGGAAACCAGATAAAACAAGAAAAACGACAAGGGACATGGAGATCAGAGGGTGAAAGAGAGCGAGAGAGAGAGGGAGGAAGCTGGGACTGCTTCCACCCAGCATGTTCCACCCACCCACCATGTTCCACTGCTGCCGTCCCTTCAGCACCCGCTCCTCGCTGCCGCTCGCCCGCCTCCCCTTCCTCCCCACGCCCCCCGCCACGTGCTTGTCCAGATACGCGGACGCCACGCGCGCAAACGGGTCTCTCATAAACACAAACCGAAACAGCTTTCTGGACGAGAGCGTGCGGAGCGCAGCGGCCTCGTCGAATGCGAACCAGAGCTCCGGGAGCCCGTTGGCGTCCGTGGCGTGCGCCCACTCGATGCTGGCGGCGCTGGGCAGGCGGTGGTACGTGCGGAACCAGACCTTCCATGACGTGCAGGCCACCTTGGGGATGAAGCAGTAGAGCGTGCTGAGGGAGTCTGGGGAGGGGGGGGAGGAGGAGTGGGGGAAGTGGAAAGCGAAGTGGAGGCGAGAAGCGGGGGAGGAAAAGGGAGGTGGAAAATAGCTGGAACGTGATCATGTGTGGGGTGGCTGAGTCTTGGGTGGAGGAGAAGGGAGTGTGGGTGGGAGCGGGGATGGCAGGGGGGGAACGAAAGATGGATGGACACGGGAAAGAGAAGAGACCAAGAACAGAATCAGCATCCGCTCAGCTCTTTAGCTGCAGAGTGACGTGTTGCACTATAGCTCTGAGCTGAGGCGCCTCAAATCTACACGCCAGGGAACTAGCATCTGGGCACCCAACTTGCATGCACAGCTGTGCAGTGTGCAGACCAGGGCTCACGATAGACGGGTAATCATCCGGAATTTCAGGTTCACCAGCGAAACCCGTGCCGGAATCAAATCCGGATCCCCTAAACGGACCCGAAATTGCCCGTTTCAAAGCTTATTCTGATCCTTTTGACGAGATCTGCGTCCCTTGGACCTCAGAAATGCACAAACCGCGACATTTAGCCATATTTCGAGGCATCGATATTCAAATCTGGAAGAATCCGGATAAAAAAAAAAATCCAATCGTGAGGCCTGGTGCAGACCCACAAGGTTAGGTACTCAACAGCCCTCCACTCACCATCCACTATAAGCTGATGCGCCACTGTGCTGCGAGAAAACAAGCTGGTGGCCTGCGCCGTGCTCGGAATCAGCGGCAGCACCGCAAACCTCCCACTCCCACCACTCCCCTGACCCCCACCTCCTCCCTTCCCACCAGCACCAGCACCACCGCCCCCGCCACTCGTGCCCTTCCCATCGCTGCTCTTCTTGTTGTGGTAGAGCGCCAGGAACACGTCAATGCCTGCCAGCACTGCATTCGCCTCTGCTTCCAGCTGCTCCGCAGCCTCCACTGCAGCGGCCTGCGACGCAATGAAGTCCGACTCCACGGAGCGAGCCAGGTGCAGCAGGGAGCGCGTGCGGCCCAGAAGGAACAGCTCCGCTAGCTGGCGGGAATGGGGGGAGGGAAGTGGGGGGGGACAGAGGGGGGGGGGGGTATTAGACGCTCGGATTACTAGGTACTTCAGAAGTGGGTGCAGCAGGGAGCGCGTGTGGCCCAGAAGAAACAGCTCTGCCAGCTGGTGGGGCTTGGGAGAATGAGAGGGAGGGTGGGGTTGGGGGTTTTAAGCGCCTCTGACTCCAGGCGCTCTGCTGCGGCGGCCTGCAAGAGAAGAGAGATGGAGTGGGATTATCGAGGGTGTGGTTGTGAAGGAGTGGGAAGGAGGGGCAGGGGAGATAGGGGAGGAGGGACGGGAAGGGAATGCTGCAGGTAAAAATTGAGGGTTGGTGGGTTTGCAGAAATAGTCGGGTGGACACAAGGGCACGTGAAAGCGGAGGTACACTCACAACTTGCATACGAGACTGCACCCGCGCCACCCCTCATACTTCATTACCCCCCCCCCCCCTCTCCCTCGCTCTCACCCAACATCTCCCACACACACCCATACGCTCAGGCTGCCAGCAACGCACCCACAGCTGGTCGCACTGCCGGGCAACATCCAGAGGGTACGCCTTGCCCTTCCTCCCAGGCTTCCCGCCCGGCCTTCTCGGCACGCCACGCCCAGCCTGAGGCTGCGGCTGAGCCTGCAGGAGACGCCTCTTGGGTCCTGCTGTGGCGCGAGAGGCGTTGCTTGGGCTGTGCGGGGGGAAGGGTGGGGGAGGGGGAAAGGGGGGTTTGAGGCCCCCGACCCAGCGCCAGCGCCAGTTTGAGCCTGCAGGAGACGCCTATTGGGTCCTGCTGTGGCGCGAGAGGCGTTGCTTGGGCTGAGAGGGGGGAAGGGTAGTGGAGGGGGCGCGGAAGGGGGGTGGGGGGAAGGAGAGGGAGAGAGTGGTAGGTTGGTGGTGGGGGGCAGAGAACAAACAACAAGAATATGGCTATCACACAAGGGGTATTTCAGTGGCCGGCTGGCTAACTTAGTAGGACGCACAGCTGGAAGCGAGAGTCCAGTGGTGAAGGCCAGCCCAGATCAAACACACGGACAGAAGAGGGAGGGAAGAACGCTTCTCACCTGCCAAACCCACTGGCTGCCCGCTGCCTCTCCACAGCCGATAACCCCAAGTCTAACGCCACTCCTTCCCTACGCCCACTCAAACCCCCTCCTCCTCCTCCTCCCCCTCCGCCTCCGCCTCCTCCGCCTCCGCCCCCTCCTCCCCCTCCTCCCATCCGTCCCTCCGCCACCCCAGCCTCCCCCATGAGCCCACCCCCCTCCTCCTGCCTCTTCCGCCTCTCGTTCCAGTCTCTAATGGACAGCTCAGGCGGGCGGATGGGCAGCGAGGGCGGGCGGAAGAAGGAGCAGAGCGAGTAGCGGCGTGTGGAGGCGCGGAGCAGCAGGGGCAGGAGCGAGGGGTGCAGGGCGCGTGAGAGCACGGTGGAGAAGGAGGGGAAGAAGGAGGCCGCGGTGAAGGACGTGTTGGGGGCGCGGAGGAGGTGCAGCAGCAGGTGGTGCAGCGAGCAGTTGAGCACCCAGGGGGCCGGGCAGAGAAAGCCGCCGTAGAGGGCTGGGGATGAGGTGGGGCCCTGGGGTGGGTGGGGAGAGGGGGGCGGGGAGAGGAGATAGGAGAGGAGGGGTTAGTTCGTGGGGTGTTAGGAGGGCACAGTGGTGGGGAGGGTGGTTTCATTTCAAGGGTGGGGAGGGCACGGTGGAGAAGGGGGGGAAGAAAGAGGCGGCGGTGAGTGAGACGTTGGGGGACCAGAGGAGGTGCAGCAGCAGGTGGCGCAGAGAGCAGTTGAGCACCCAGGGGGCTGGGCAGAGAAAGCTGTTGTAGAGCATGGGGGTTGAGGTGGGCCACTGGGGTGGGAGAGGGGAGCGGAGAGGGGAGATGGGAGAGGAGAGAAGAGAGAGGAGAGAGGAGAGATGAGGGAGGAGAGAGGGCAGAGGGGATAGGGGAGAGAGGAGGAGAGGAGAGGAGGACGGGTGTTAGGAACTCCCCACCCCGTCGTGAAGGTTCGGAGGGTGAGGGAGAGAAGTGGGGAATGAGGGAGTGTGACACAAGGACTGGGAAAAGAGGTGGTTACAACGGATGGAAGAGCGCATGCACTCCAACATCACATCCACCACCCCCTCCCTCCCACCCCCACCGCATCTTTCACTTCAGGCGCCTCAAACAAACCCCCTCCCTCCCTCCCAACTCCCCACGCTCCTTCCCCCCCCCTCCCCACCCCCCTCAACTTATGCAGTCACGCCCCATCACACCTCAAGGTACACGCCCATGGATTCGCGCACACGTGTCATGTTCTCATTGGCCATCAGCTGGTCCACAGGTGGCGCAGGGGCCAGCTGGCTGTAGCACGTCTTGAGAGGCGCCGCCAGCTGGCAGGCTGACGTGGCGTTGATGATGGCCTGCACACTCTCTTGCTACAGGCAGGGGCGATGGGCGCATGGGCGGCAGTAGGAGGAGCAAGAGGGGGGAGTGAGCAGGGGGGGGAAAGGAGAGGACGGAGAGAGTACTGGGATGTGTGGGGGAAAGCAAAAGGGATAGAAAACGAAAACGAGATCAATGGGGAGACGAATGTGAAAGAGGCTGGAATGGAGGAGATGAAAGTGTGATTGCAGGACGCTGGCTGACACTACGAGGGTCCTAGAGTTACACAAAAAAAGGAGGCTTGAGAGGAATGCAGCCTGCGTTTCGAGCCTCGGAAACACAAGCGAGTGTGCTAAAAAAAGGAAGGGGAGAGGGTGGGAGTGGCGGGGATGGGAGGTGAGGGATGGTAGTAGGGGAGAGAGGACGGTGCAGAAGGGGGCACTGACAAGTTGGTGGGAGCGCAGGGCAAGAGGGGAGAAGTAGAGCAGGATGGGGACGGGGTGGCGCTGGTGGAAGGGCGCGGGGCCACACGCAGGCGACTCCAAGGGCAGCTGAGGGGGGGCGGGGTCGGGGGGAAGAGGATGAGGGAAATGAGGGAGGGAGAAAAAGCAGGGGCGGGGAGAGGGGGACGGGGAGGGACAGGGAGGGCGGAGTGGGGACGGGGTAGGAACAAGTGAGCAGCAGTGTGAGGGGATGAGAGCCATCAGCGGAAACGCCCTTGAGAGACACACGGTCCGAAAGTATTGGCAGCCGCAGCACATAGGGCACCATCACCCGCACCATCACCAGCATCCGCACCAGCACCAGCACCAGCACCAGCACCAGCACCAGCACCAGCACCAGCACCAGCACCAGCACCAGCACCGTCAGCATCAGCATCAGCATCAGCATCAGCATCGTCATCATCATCACCATCATCACCACCACCACCACCATCACACCAGCATACCTTCTGCAGCGAAAACCCAGCAGGGGGCGTGAACCCTCCACTTGCCCCCCCCTCCGGCCAGGTCTTGCCCTGCTCGCCGCCCCCTCGCAGCACCACCTCCTCGTGCACGTCCACTGTCATGCCCGGCAGCGGCATCAGCAAATCATCAAACACTGCCGCCACCAACCCCGGCACACTACTACTCCCACCACTCGCGCTGCTGCTAGACGACAATGCCCCTGCTCCTGTCTCTCCCCCTCCCCCTGCTCCTGCCCCTGTGCCTGCGCCTGTGCCTAGCCGTGTGTCCAGGCGCGTATCTGTGCCTGGGCCTGAGCCTGGGCCTGTAAGTGCGGCACCGGGCGGCAGGTGCACATGCTGGCGCCAGTGCAGGCGCACGGAGAGGCCTGAGGCGCGCGTCAGGGCGTGCGCCACGCAAACCGCGCGCAGGCGGTTGGGCAGCAGACCCTGTTGCGGTGATGTGGGAGGGAGGAGATGGGAGGGGGAGGAGAAGTGAGGGAGATGGTGGGTTGGACGAGCAGGGGTAAGAGAGGGAGGAGGCGGGGAAGATTGGGGCGGCACGATGGGCGTTTTAGAACACGGGTTTGGGAGGTGGGTGGGTGAGGGGACTGTGGTCGGGTGAAGCAGGGCGCTCTTTGGATGGCAGAGTGCAGAGGCGAGGCGGACGGACGGCATGATGTTGATGAACAAAGGGGGTGGCTGGTGAACAGGGAGAGCATTTGAACATTGAAAGGCGATCAGGGCACAGGACAGGAAGAGAATGCAGAGTGGAGGAAGTGGTATGTGGAATGCAGCAGCAGACCATGTGATTGAAAGGCAGTTAATGAAAGCAAGCACGCCACCTCTGCCACCACATGCACCTCACCTCTGCCACCACATGCACGTCAGGTTGCACCGAAGCCTCAGCTGCGGCTGTGCCTTTCACACTGCCTCCTTCTCCTGCTCCTCCTCCTGCTCCTCCTCCTGCTCCCCCTGGCCCTGCCACTGACCCTTGGACTCCTCCTGAACGTGCCCCTGTTCCTGCCCCCGCCCCGGCCCCTCCCACAGCCCCTCCTGCCCCGCTCTCTGCCTCTGCCCGTACCTGTGCCCCTGTCCCAGCCCCTATTGAGACCTTCCCCTCCCCTACCTTCACTCCTGGTACACCGGCCTCCCCGGCTACAGCCCCTGGTCGCCCTCCCAACCCCGTCGCTGGTTGCTCTGGAGACCCCACCCCACCCCCGCCCACCAACGCACCTCCATCTCCCTTTATCCCCGTCCCACTGCCCTTCTCCCCCACCGTCCCACTGCTGTGCCTGATTGCATGACTACTCACATCACTGTCATTCCCTCTCCATCCTCTCGTCCAATCCGCGCCATCCTTGTCCGCCATACCTGGCGCTTGCCTTTTCTCTACAGACGACATTCCGCCTCCCTCCTGCCCCCCCCCCTCCCCAAACCATGCTCCCCCATTTCCCCCCCTCTTTCCCCCCATGATCCCCTCTCGTCCCGGCCCCTATTCCCCTCCCCTTGTCCTGCTCCCCGCCTCGCCCTGTCCCCTCCTCCCGACCCTTCTCTTTCTCCCCCACTCAACGCTTCTCTGCCCGCCTGCAGAGTCCCGCTTGCATCAGCCGCACCCAGCTCGTCCCTCTCCCCTCCTCTCTCCCTCCTCGCCCAAGCATCCCTGCTCCCCGCCCCCGGCCCGTCCCTCCACTCACTCCCCCCTGCGACTACCCCACCTTCTCGCCCCTCCCCACCTTGACTTACCCCTTCTCCGTCCCCTTCTCTTCTGCTCTCCTTCTCCCCGCCTCTTTCCTCTCGCGCCCCCAATCCATCCCTCCTCCCCGCCTGCCCTTCCCCCCCCCATCCGCGGCCTGCCCACCGCTCTCTCCCTTCCCTCTCGAACCTCTCTCTCTCGTCCATTCTCTTTTCCTTTGTACCTCCTCCTTCCATCGCAACCTCTCCGCCACTCCTCGCTGCGTCCCAGCTGCCCCCTCCCCCTCCCCCTCCCCGTCCTCCTTCCCCTCCCTCGCCTGCGCCCCCGCCCCCCCCCCCGCCCCCTGCCCGCCAATATCCATAAGACCTCTGCTCCCTCTGTAAATAACCTCTGTCTTCTGCATCTCCCTCCCTTGGCTTTCCGCCACTACTTTGCACACCAATTCCACCCTCCACCGATTCTCGTCCTGCTCCTCCCTCCCCTTCCATTCCCCTTCTCCCCCCCCCTCCGCCTCCTTCCCCTGCCCCACTTCCCCCTCCTCCTCCTCCGCCCCCTGTGCCTCCCTTTCCTCCCGCCTCATCCCCTTTCCCAACCCCTCCTGCTACGCCTCCCTCTTCTCTTCGATCTACTCTTTCCGCCTTCACCCCATCACTTCCCTCCACCTTCCCCTCATCCCCTCCCGCACTCCTGTTTGCCCATCCCCCCACCTCCCCACTCCCACCCAAGCGACCCTCGCTCCCATTCGCCTTCTCTGTCCCCCCGAGCCCTCCCAGCCAGTTTCGCGAAGGCGAACTGCTAACGTTTCCTCCTGTCTCTCCCTTCTCTCCTTTCCCTCCCTGCTCTGTAGGCCAAGCCCCCTCCGCTCCCCCCCCCCGCTGCCTCTGGCTCGTCCAGTCGCCCAGGTCACCAAACGCCAGCTCATCCTCGCCCATCACCCGCCGATCCCCGCTATCGTCATCCCCACCGCCTCGCTGCTGCATCGCCAGTAACGAGGTGGCCGATATCGAGGACGCAGGGAGCAGCGCCGTGGCGGCGTGTCGCTTCCCGTGGTGCCGCACGGGCCACGACATCTGCATGGTCGCGGACGCGAGGATGAAGACGCTTAGAAAAAGCCATCGCCGGCGTCCGGCAAGGTGAAGCTTGCCGACCTGGTCCCCGATCTGATGCCCTATGCGCCGACCGAACTGTCCTATCCGCCCGATTTGCCCCTGGATCGCGCCGCCGCTGCCGCCGGCACTGGCACCGGCAGCAGCACCAGCGCGGATCGCTCCTGCGGCTTCTTGGCATTTGGCGAGGAGAGTGCGGTACCAGAGGCGAAGGAGGGCCGTGGTTTGCGCGAGCCAGAGGTGCTGCATGGCGGCATGTCGCGGTTTCGTCGCGGGGCGAAACGAGATATTCCTGGCTCTAGCGCCTCGCCGCCTGCTGCTTCTGGCTGGCTTGCTCGGTTATCGGCGCATGGGCGCGGCTAGATGGCGTGTGCGGACGAACGAAAGGGGGTGCTTGCAGTCGCGACGGCATGGAAAGCGAGGATGTAGTCGGGGGATCAGAGTTTGGTGTTGAGGTGAGTTGAAGGCAGGGCCACCATGGGATGTGATGTGACACACAAGCAGCAGGTGGGGTGGGATGGGAGGGAGGGATGGTTGGCTGGGTACAAGGGTTGGTGGAAGGGGATGTGGTGGAAGCCTGTGCGGTAATATCGAGGTTACTGTAGAGTCATCTTCGAAGGACGACAGGTTAGGACAGATTTGTCTCAAGCTTAGAGCGCGTGTCAGATCCCTTGACACGAGTGGGAACACAGTACACACCTCCCCCCCAACGTTTGCATGAAGACTTGCAAGTTGGCTCCCTTGTGTCATGCTCCGTGCAAATCGACATGCTCGCCTGACACTTCGCATGTCATCCTCAATTACACTAGAGGTCTGAAAGAGGCCCAAATTTTTTTCGGGCGGTCACTCTAGTAACGGACGCCTTCAAATTGCTGGCAAATTGGGCCTGAAGCTAGGACCATGGTTACCCGTTTGGCAGGAACCTTGGAACATGGAAGACATTCGTTGTTTCTCCCGCGTACCCCGGTAACTGTCGCACAATCGCACCCTGGTTCCGAGTCAACCTACAATTGTTCCTTCTGCATGTTCGCTCCCAGCAGTGTCGCAAGTGGTTGTGCCGCCCAAAATTGGGCCAGTCCATGACGGGCCGTTGACTGCATATCCGTGGCAGTCGGACTGACGAGTGCAAGGAGGCCTCTGACGAATGGGCGGTTCACTGGACGTCATGTGTATGTGGACGGAGAAACCTGATGTCAGGAAAACCCATCTGCGTGCCTAGCACAAAGGATGACATTTGATAATGACCGGGTCACGCACGAGTCCTGGTACATGCAGCTACTGTACGCAGTATTCTCCACCTTCGATTCCGTACCAGTTATGGGAAACGGATGTTCATTTCACTTCTGATATCTTATCCCTATAGGCACATATATTATTTATCCACAGCCAAGGCCCACATCTTTCACCCAAAAAAAAAAAAAAAAAAAAAAAACACACACACACACACAAACAAACAAACAACAACAACAACAACAAAAAACCGGTACACGTGCATACTCATGTTAGTGGCCTCAGAGTAGAAAAATTAACTAGAATGTGGCATACATGTTGTTTTTGTTCAAGTGGATGTACCCTCTAAGAGCATGCACCTATCTAGCCTATTATAATATATACAAATATGTTTGACACACCCCCTAGGCCAGATGAGGGGCAGTGCTTGGAAGTCGACACATACCTCAGAGTGGCACTACTCGTCCAACCTCTGAGGCAAGGATCCGAAGACCAGTCAGCAAGAGGACAAACAAGACAAGAGCAAACTAGGGCGGCACTACTAGTCCGACCACTGGAAGAGAAGCCACAAGGCCAGCCAGAAAGGTATATATAAAGAGAAGTACACAATAAAGGTCCTAGCAAGTGAGTAGTTACAGGAACTAGACCAAGCTGCAAACAGTACCGCTGATGATCTTTAGGCGAAAGCGCCTTAGTAAAGATATCAGCTGTGTTGGCACCTGAGGCTAAGTGTACTACGCGGGCCTGGCGACGCTGCTGTAGCTCGCGCAATAGGAAGTACCGCAGCTGGATGTGCTTCGCTCTGCCCTCAAGTCGAGGCTCCTGACACAGGAGGATCATGGCCATATTGTCAACGTACAGAACTGGGGCAGAGCTAGGCCACTCACCTAAGTCTGTGAGCAAGAAAGTCAGCCAGCGGAGCTCGAGTGCCGCCATGGCACCAGCGTAGATCTCAGCCTCACAGATGGACTGTGCAACAGACAACGAGCGGGTGGACCTCCACGAGACCGCGCCTGCACCAAGGCTAAAGCAATAGCCCTGAGAGGACCTGAGGGTCTCAACGTTTTCTACCCAATAAGCGTCACTGTGCCCAGTAAGGACCACTGGCCTGCGTCCTCCCACTACTAGCTCCATGCCCGATGTACTTGCTAGATAATGCAAAACCTTCTTAGCGGCCGATCAGTGTTGTGGCCACAAAGCGAGCCAGGATGTTGAGCGGGTATGCGAGATCTGGACAAGTGCAAGTCATCAGGTACATGAGGCAACCCACCAACTCTGCGTAAGGACCACTGGGCTTTACTGACTCCTCAGAAACAAGAGCTGAGAGCCTGTGGTCTACTGGCAGAGGTGTAGGCTGTGCAGAGGAGAACTGAAGACCGAACCTCTGAAGGACCTGACGCACTAAGTGTGACTGTATAAGAGTCATGGTGCAAGCTGCTCTGTCCCTCGAGATCTGCAGGCCAAGGTAGCGGCGCAGCTCTCCTAGGTCAGTGCAGGTGTGCCTCCTCAGCAACTCGGCCTTCACAGAGGCCATAGTGTGTCTATCTGCAGTAGCGAAGACCAGGTCATCTATGTAGACAAGGATGTAGAATGGATTCTGGCCAGCAAGAACGAAGAGCGAGGGGTCTGCAGAGGACGGAAGGGACCGCAGGTTAGATAGCGTAGCACGCAGCGTGTCGTGCCACTCATGGGGCGCCTGTTGCAGGCCGTAGAATGGGTGCCGGAGGAGCCACTAGGTCCCAGGCGGGAAGGTACCGGTGAAGCCCTGAGGACGGCACAGGTAGACCTGCTCTTGTAGGCTGCCCTGAAGAAAGGCAGTGGAGAAGTCGAGGGCGTGGAGCTCGTAGTCACGCTGTGCTGCTACGTGTAGCAGCGCCCGAAGAGTAGTCATTTTTGGGGTCGGGGCAAAGGTCTGAAAGAAGTCCACCCCCTCGCGCTGACTGAAGCCTCTAGCCACATAGCGTGCCTTGAACACAAGTGGCTCTCCAGGAGGCGCTTCACCTTGAAGAGCCACCGGCCATCGACCTCATTCACCCCAGGTAGGGGAACTACGTCGACGTAAGTGCCGGTGGATCTCCAAGATGCCATCTCCTGCTTCATGGCAGCTATCCACTGAGAGGCCCAGGGTCCCGAAGTCGCCTCAACGTAAGTGCGAGGGGTCGGGATGTCAAAGGCGTCTGGGTAACCCTCAGGGACTAACAGCATGGAACAGAGATGGGGAGCAGCCTCGGACAGGAAAGCAAGCTCGTACTGCCTGTCCTCTAGGACATCATTGCCAAGGGCAGGAGCACGCCCGACGAACGAAGGGCAGGCAGGGCCAGAGACCAGAGTTGTGGCACAGTCAAGGCGGCAGGTAGAGGCGAAGTCAGCGACAGCATTGACAAGAGCGACAAGACTCGAGACAAGAACAGACGGGTCGGTAACGAGGGAGGCAAGGACCCGAGGAACAAGAGGACGGGCGGTGCGAAGGTAGTCAGATAGAGGGGGAGGCACGTCAGCGAGCAATGACGGAGGAGGAGACGGGAGGAGGGGAGGATGAGACGCGTGGGAACGAAGCAACATAGGGTGAGAACGCTGAACTAGAGTGACAGGACGAGCGCGAGAGGGACAGCGAGACCAGACGTGAGACAGAGGCGTCGGGTCAGGAGACAGAGGAGGAGTAACAAGAGGGGAACGAGGTGGGAAACGAGCCAGGGATGAGTCCGGTGGAGGAAATACAGGACCGTGGACAGGAAGGGGAGGAGGCGGCGGGGGAGGCACGGGCAAGCGATCAGGGGAGGGAAGGCTGAGCAGGCGAAGGGCGAACACCGTCGGCAAATGCTGCAGCTGCTGCTCGACGCCGACACCTGGACCGCCAGCTGCACCATGGCTACCTCCGGAACACTCCACTCCATGACCCCAAGAGCAAGCACCCTCACAGCGAGAACCCAATCCAGCTCCGGTGCCACCCCCGAGCCCACCGGGACAAGCCACGACAGGAACCCCAGGACTAGCACCCTCCTCAACACCAGCACCCCCAGAGTCCAGAAACGGCTGCTGCTGCTGCGACGGCGACGGCTGCTACGGTGGCGGGGACTGCTGCTGTAGCGGCTGCGACGACAGGGGAGGGGACACTGGGGGAGAGGCAAGCGACGAGAACTTCACCGCGGGGCCACCAGAGTCAGCCAACTCCTCGACCGGGACAAGCGACGGGAGGGGAGTGATGTGAGACACTCGAGATGGAGCAGGACGGGGAGGGAGGGGAGCAGGGGCTACCAGTGGAGTGAGAACCAGAAACAGGGGTGGGGAAAGCGACGATAAAAGAAGACAGACTCGTTGAAAGTGACGTCTCGCAAGTCAAGGAAGCGATAAGACGGCGGGTGGTAAGAGTGTCAGTTAGACGAGTCCTGGGGATACCGAGGAAGATACAGGGGATAGTGCGGGGAGTGAGCTTGTCCATGCCAGAGGCACGAACGTGAGCGAGGCATCCCCAGATGTGGAACGCAGATGCGTCACTAGGAGACTCGGTCCAGAAGAGGGTGGGTGAGACCTGCGGCCGCTTGGAGTGGGGCCACAAGTTCAGCTGGTGAGCGGCGTAGCGAATAGCGAACGACCACAGAAAATGGGGTGCACCGGCACGAATCATGGAGGTACGAGCCACCTCAATGACCAAGCCGTTGCGTCGCTCAGCGACCCCATTCTGCTGTTGGGAGTCCAGCAGGGTATACGACTGGGTGATGCCCTCCGCACGACTGAACCGGCCAAGCCGACCGGAGGCAAACTCGACGCCACGGTCGGAGTGGAGACACAACATGAGGAGATCTCGGCGCTTGCGCAGCTATGACCCACGGGATAGGAACGTCAGGCACATTGGCCTTCCGCTCCATAGGAAAAACCGTGGTGTAGCGCGTGTAGTCGTCGACAAGCACTAGGAAATATCGCTCTCAATGTGGCCGAGGGACTGAGGCTGGAACCCAGACGTCCAGGTGCAGTGTCTGGAGTGGTGCGGTGGTAGGGCTAAGCGAGGAGGAGTGAGGAGCATGGCGCAGCCGACCCTTGACATAGGGCGTGCACGGCAGTGCAGGCGAGGGAGGGAGGGAACGGAGCGACGCAGGGAGACCTAGGACAAGACCGTGCTGGGACATGTGACCAGACGTGGAAGTGCAGGGTGACCTAGGCGGTAGTGCCACAGCAGCGACAGATGAGTGAGCGACCGAAACGAGCAAGCCACGGCTACCTGGGGGGACGCCCTCACCGGGGGGGATGCAGTGTCAAGC